AGGGCCCCTCATGCCGGCCGCGCGCGGGGCGCCGCCCCCAGGCCGCAGCCCTGAGCCCCGCTGAGCCCCGCGAGCGCACGGCGCCCCAAGGCCTCGGCCTCCTCCCAAACTTTGCAAAGTCGGCCCGCGGTCCCTCCGGCCTCGGCCGCGCTCGGGCTCTGCGCTCGGCCCTGAGGACCAGGAGGACCCGGAGGAGGATCAGGAGGACCTAGAGGAGGACGACGAGGAGGAGGGGCCTCCGCATCAAAGACACCGGCTTCCCGCGGCCCGGGGGCGAGCCATGCGCGGCGGTCGGTAATGTCAGCGGAACAGGACAAGGAGCCCATCGCGCTGAAGAGAGTTCGAGGTAACCGAGCCGGGGTCAGGAGCACCGGGGGAGGGCGACCCGGGCCTCGCAGGCCCGAGGCGCCCGGGGACCCCACGCGGAGCCCCCACCGCCCCACTTTGTGTGCGAACGCCTTGCGAGCCGCGCTCAGTATCCTTTCCTTCCAGGTTCCTCTCCTGCTTCCCACCACGCAGCACAATAGGCATCTGGGGAGAAAAGGAGACACCCCAACAATGCCCCCCTAAAACTAAGTTGGACTGCAAGAGAGTTGAGGCTCAGAAGCAGCCCCCCGAAAAGACAACGCGTAATCGTATATTTCCCTTAGGTTTAGGGGGAGAAACCAGATAAATTCAGAAGGCGTTTTCTTTATTAACCAATAAGATTAAGAATCCATTCATTTAAAATCAGCTTTCAGCATCACTGGTTTTCTGCCTAGCAAACTAGTTAGAAATTGAGCTGCCTCTTACTGTCTCAGAAAAATCTGAGAAGGATGTACCGAACAAAAGGCATGTAAGTTCAAGAAACGCCAAACACCATCTGGGAATGTGGGGACAACCGCCAGCTCATGTTTCCAGCTCTCAGTGGGTTTCTAAGGCTAAAAGTCCCAAAGTTGTCATAAAACCGTTTGTTCATTATGCAAATATTTATTGAACATGTACTATGTGCTAGGCACTATTCTTGGCACGGGTTAAAACAGTGTTTAAAGAATGTATTTGATCTTTACCCAGGAGTGCACACACTCAGAGTAAACAGAAGGTTATAGGTAGTGCTGTGATGAGTAACAAAGCAGGCCGTGGGGACAGGAAGGCTGTATGGGCCCGGGAGGCAGAGATTATATAGAAGGTGATCAAAGGCTCACCTGGAAGATGAGATTTGATCCAAGATTCAAAAGAACTGATAGAGCTCGCCATGTGATGCCCGTGGGAAGGGCACTCGGGCAACAGGAACAGCAAATGCAAAGACCTTGGGTCTGGGATACACCTGTGTCTCCAAGCAACAGCAAAGAAATTGGTATCAGAGGTAAGGTGAGCAAGGGAAGAGTGGTCTGATGGACTGAGGCCTGGGCAGCAGCTGTGTATTGAAGGCCTGGTGTGTCAGTTAAGAATTTACCTCTTATAGATAAGGACTGGACATTTTTGTGGGGAGAAAAAAAGAGAAAGTGAGCTGACATTTTTAATAGGGCAGATCTGGGTGTTGTGTAGAAAATTAGACTGGAGAAAGGCGGAAGAAAGGCGGCTAGCCAGGACACACACAGCTGCAATAATTCCTTCATCCAAAAAAGGTAAAGTGCACATAAATCAACAAATAGTAAGGTTAAATTTCCTTTCAACTTAAATGACTCTGGTGGTTCATCGATGCTTTTGTTCAGTGGGACCACGGAGTAAACATCATAAAACTATCTTGTGACGCTGATGTGGGACCCAAAAGACATCCCCTCTGAGACTAGTTAGAACTGACTTATTTTTAGGGTTTGGGAGATGACTCAGTGGGTAAAGCACTTGCTGAACACATGTGAAGACCTGAGTTCAGTTCCCCATCACCCACATAAATGCCAGATGGTTGGGGCAGCTCACCTGTCATCTCAGTGGATGGAAGGGAGACAGGTGATCCCTAGAGCAAGCTAGCTAGAGTAGCCAACTCAGTGCACTCTGGATTCAAGTGAGAGACCGCACCACTTGGTGGGATAAAGGTGGGAAACGATCAAGCATCAACCTCTGACCTGCACACGTGTGTATACATACATACACGTGCATAGTCACATGCATGTGTGGACTGCACATGCACATGTATGAACTACTCATGCAAACACACACATCCATATATGCCCCCCAAAAGGAAATGCGCAATTTTTTTAGTTAAGCAAAAATGTAACTTAGAGCAAAGTGTTGCTTTTTAAAATTTAATGTCAGAACAACCTTTCATTTGGTGATCTCTTTTAACTCTCTTCTATTTGTGGTTATGAGTTACCAAAGCCTTTAAGAAATATACTTTTCTGAAATGCAGTTTTCCTCCTGAGATTTTTATAGTATTATTTTGCCTATTATTATAAATTGCTTTGGGATTAAAAAAAAAAAGAAATTTGAACGTAGCTATCAGTCTTAACCAATATAATTCTAAATAAAATGGGTAAGTATTTGATGGTGGGTAAAGAACACAAATTATATCTTCATATTGTTCTAAATGCTGCCTGTAAGTCCCACATCGCAGCAGTAGGCAGTTGGCTCAATTTTCAGCTCAAGATATTCTAAGAATTAAATCCCAGAATGAAACAAAACACTTCTGAAAACAAAAAGTCAATATTTTTTACTTTATGGAAAATGTTTTTTCTGTTTCCTAAGACATTAATTTAGGACACTTTTTAAAATTATTTTATTATTGGGGGCTGGAGAGATGGCTCAGCAGTTAAGAGCACTCATTGCTCTTGCAGAGGCCCCTGGTTTGATTCCCAGCACCCACATGGCAGCTATGAACCGTCCTTAACTCCAGTTCCAGGGGAATCTGAAGCCCTCTTCTGACCTCCGCGGCACTGCATGACACGGGTGCACTCACATACATGCAGGCAATACACTCATACACATAAAAATAAATAATTAGTAATAAAAATTTTAAGTATTTATTATTTTTATTTTAATATTAAAACAAATGTTATTTTAATATTAAAATAACATTTGTTTTAATATTAAAATAAAAATAATAAATACTTAAAATTTTTATTACTAATTATTTATTTTTATGTGTATGAGTGTATTGTTTGTATGTATGTGAATGCACCTGTGTCCTTCATTGCCCACAGAGGTCAGAAGAGGGCTTTGGATCAGTGGGTGCTGGGAATCGAAACCAGGTCCGCTGCAAGAGCAACCACTGCTCTTAACTGCTGAGCCATCTCTTCAGCCTCTATACGATTTTTTTTGAAACTGATCACAAGATGTGGTGTTTGTGGGGTGTAGACTTTGAGCACTGCTTCTCAGAATGTTTCCTACTCATGTTTAAACTGATAGACATTTGTAATGATTTTGTGCTTATTTCATGTGTATTACAAAGATTCATTAAACTTCTTGTTTAGGGTAAGATATGTGTGTGTGTGTGTGTGTGTGTGTGTTAAACACATGTATTTATTTATAAATCTTTTATGAGTGTATGAGTGTATTATCTGCATGTATGTAAGTACACCTATGTCTGCAATGCCTGAGGAAGTCAGAAGAGGATGTTAGATTCCCCTGGAACTGGAGTTACAGATGGTTGTTAGCTGCCATGTGGGTGCTGGGAATTGAACCTAGGTCTTCTGCAAGAGCAGTCAGTGCTCTTAACTACTGAATTTACTATTTGACAAAAAGACCTTATATAACTCAAAATGCCATGATTATATGTGGTACCCAGAACCTAGGCCAACATTCACTTACTCAGCCCTCATGAACCCTCTCCTGTCTATACATGTGTGATGGCTGCTATCCTCTTACACTTTTTCTTCTGTTTCTTTGACAACACCTCTCACTGTGCTTTTCAGAGTCTCCATTTGTAGAATGTTAGTGTTCTCACAGTTTGTGATCTTAGTGCCTTCCACTGTTCACTCTCTTGGGTGAGCTCTTGTACTCCCAGGATGTCAATTAGTAAATTCACCTGTTTACTGATGACTTCCAGCTCTATTTCAGACCACTGGTCTCAGTTCCAAAGCATGTTACATACCCACTGCACACACAGGAAAATCCAGGGGATAAGTCAACATGTTCAGAACCAAACTCAGATTCCCAATAATCTGTCCAGCTGTATACCAGCTAGCGTTTAAAAACAAAACCTTTCCTCCCCATATGCTCCTCCTCCCCTATTCTGTGTTGACATAAATTATGCTCCTTACAACCCAACCCTCATCCTCCATACATCCATCCTATCAGGACATGTACTAGTTATTTTAATTCTTCAGACAGGGTCTCCCTATAGTACCAGCTGGCCTGGAACTCACAATGTGGACCAGGCTGGCCTTGGATCTTACAGAGATTCACCTGCCTCTACCTCCTGAGTGCTGGGACTAAAGGCATGAGCCACCATACCTAGTTATTATTTTCTATTGATAGTGTAAACTTTACTGTTAGTACATTTATGCCATTTCTGTGTTATCTCATGCTAAAGTTCATCCTATCTCTGTCATTTCTGACTGGTTAAAAGCACTTCATCCCAAATGGATGCCCTCAATTCCTTCTTCATCTTTGAATTTCTGTTTCCTCTATTCTTTTTTTCCATAAGCCCATCCTCTATGACCATTCTTTTTTTTTCTTCTCTCATAGCCCAGGCTGGCCTCCAACTCCCGCGTAGCCATGGATGATCTTGAACTTCTTTCTGATCCCCCTGCCTCCACCTCCTGAGAGCTGAGATTGCAGGCACATGCCACTGCATTCAGTTAATTCAGTGCTGGGATCAAACCCAGGGCTTCATGCATGCTAGACAAACACTCCTCCAACTGAGCCACATGCCCAGACCCTCCATGAGTATTGTTGCTAATCTGCTCTTCTCACCTGTGGAGACCTGACTTAGGTAACAGAAGCCTCATCTGTCTGGCTCACAGTTAATGAACAACAAGTATGTAGTAGGTATCAGAGTCCTTACTGCCTGCTTCAGTAATGAATGAGTGACCCTCTCTGCTGCTTCTCAGTTTCCTGCTCTCCTTCTACACTGAGTTCTTTTGTAAATATAAAAATATATAGTATGGATTTTTCCCCAGTGGAGGAAAAAAGGGGAAAAAAAGAAACACAGAAACTTTCTGTCTTTTCGAGCTACATGCTGTCTTTCTATTGCCATTTTCTTTTCAGCACATCTTCACTTGTTTAACACACTGATTTTCTTTTTCTTTTTTTTTTTTTTTTTTTTTTTTTTTTTTTTTTGGTCTCCCTGTAGCCCCAGCTGTCCTGGAACTCACTATGTAGACTAGCCTGGCTTTGAACTCACAGAGATCTGCCTGCCTCTGCCTCCCAAGTGCTGGGACTACAGGCACAGGCGTGTGCCACCATGCCTGGCTTAACACACTGATT